TGCACATATTGGTGAGTCCTCCAGAGGAGTATTACTTATTTCATATTTTTGGCGATAGGTAAGATAAACATACAGAAATTACCCCAATTCCAGACGCTTCTCTTGGTTCTTCAGTGTGCCAAGTGTTTAAGCCCTCATACACGGGACCTTGATATTAAGTCTGATTAATAATTGTAGTTGCCCATCCCAGGAATCAAGCCAATAATGTGGAGATTACAACTCTCGCGCTTTGATCGATTGACCAGCGTTTGTGTTCCTCCTTCTTATATACAACAAGGGCTCTACTTATTGGCTAGCTATTAAGAGGTACTTGGTCGTTATTTCTAGAAACGTCGTCGTTTTTTATCGTATTAACTATTCTCATATATAGTATATTCTTATAGTTTGTTTCTATTCATAATGTGATGATGTCATTAAAAAAATAGACCGATAATATCATTCTTCTTAAAGAATCCAATTTGGCAACAGCATATGCGCAGTCATGGCCCTTTGTCAGAATAATCATGCAGTTTATATGTAGATATGTATCTTACAACGAGTTAACGAGTTAACATTTCCTTACAGTGATACATTGTTTTTAAATGGAGTGTAAATATTATGTTTAAACCAGTTGCTGTGCGTATATTAAACTATGTATACATGTTCAATGTGAAATCGGTACAACAGAAAATATGCAAGTTTTCAGCAGTTTAGGAGAGACAAACTGATAGTGTGTAGCGTTTATTTTTTGTTGTTGAGAAGATAATTTGTTGTTTTGAAGGGAGTTTTGTTGATTTGTTGAAGTTGGTTGAATGTTATTGTTGCGATCTTAATTGATCAGGGTTTATTGGTTGTAATTAGTTGTTTTGGTTGTTAAGTAATATCTGTTTGGTAAGATATACTGTGTTGAAATTGGATGATTTTGTCTGGTCTAGATTATATAAGTTGATGCTTTGTTTTAAGGATATATTTTGATATTGGGTGCTTTTGTTTAAGTTGTTTTCTGATGCTGATTGATATTGTTGGATGAATGTTTGTGGTTTATACTGTATCTTAGAGTTGTAAAAATATTCATTTTTGTGTTCTTCATTTTGTGGTGATTTTATTGTTTTGTTTGATCATAAGTTGTTTAGAGCTCGGGCTCGCCAGATGTCTAGTATTGTTTCGTATAAAAGACGTATACGTGAAAAGACATTTCGTATAAGTGGTAGATAAATGACGTGTGTTTGTTTTGGGTGTAAATAATGATCAGAGTTTATTGTTTTGGACGTCAATAATAATCAGTTTGTTGTTTAAATGTATATATGGATTTGAGATAGAAAAAGATAAAATACCTTAAAATATAGTGTTAACTAAACAATTACATGGTAGTTATTTTCCAACTGAGAATATTTCAATTTAATGTCAGGCGGTGCTGCCAATCCCCCATATCTTTGAAATTAGTTCAAGTATTTCTTACTTAATCTTTCCTTAGATTAAATACCATCAAGGCAGTCATTTCTCCTGACATCCTTAACCAGCATTTTACTACTCATCATTAACGTGAGAAAGCTATTTTAAAGTCGATAAGTCTACAATGAGCATATTTTCTATAATGATGTATTTCAAGTATTGATAAAAACAATATAAACAATCTGTCAATTGTATATATTCAGCCTAACGGCTCGGGTTATATTTCCAAACAGCGGTTAGAATAATAGGCCAAATACCAGTATGGCTAATACATGTAATAATGTAACATCTACTTCAAGACCATATATGTTAAACTTTTTAATATTATTTTTAGCAAAAAGTGTATTCCAAAATGTTGGACAATTGGTGTTATAAATCCTTTTTACAAAAAAATAAGATGCGACTGATCCATCAAATTATAGACCAATTACATTTCTTAGCTGCTTAAGGAAATTGTATACTGCTGTTTTAGATATCCGACTGCAAAATTTTACATCTTATCATGATATTATAAATGAATACCAGGCTGGTTTTAGCAAAGGTTATTCAACTATTGATAACATGTTTGTATTAGATAATCTTGTCGATTTGCTCAGAAATAGTAAAAAAAAATTGTATTGTGCTTTCATCGATTTAAAATGTGCCTTCGACAAAGTTTTATGGTCAAAATTATTGTCATATAATATCAATGGAAAATTTATAAACACAATAAAAACACATATGAAAATGCAAAGTCATGTGTACGTGTTAATGGTAATATGTCTGATTATTTCATATGTAATATTGGAGTACGTCAAGGTGAAAATCTTTCACTGATTATGTTTGCATTGTATTTAAATGATTTATATGAATATTTTAGTAACAATAATGTTTCCGGTGTAACATGTAACAGTCACAACTTAGAGGATAGTGCTTTTAACTATGTAAAACTGTTCTTTTTGTTGTCCGCATAATTTTTGCTGAAACAAAAGATGACTTACAACATGGTTTGAATATTTATAAAAACTATTGTGATACCTGGAAACTTACGCTCAATACAACAAAAAATAAAATTTTGGTTTTTACAAGTGGACGACGCATGTCATATAATTTTACTTACGGAAATGAACTTTTAGAAGTTGTAGACGAGTATAAGTATCTTGGTATTCTTTTCAGTAGAAGTGGTTCCCTTTTCAAAGCAAAATTATCTATCGTGAAACAGAGGTCCAAAGCAATGTATAATCTTATGAAAAAATGTAAAATGTTAAAATTGCCAATTGACATGCAAATAGATTTATTTAACAAAATTGTACGTACGGATGTGAGATATGGGGTTTTGGTAATATTGATTGTATTGAAAGAGTACAGCTTAAATTTTTAAAATATATTCTAGGTTTAAAGTCAAGTACACCAAATTGTATGGTTTACGGTGAAACTGGTGTTAAACCCCTATCTATTGAAATTAAATGTAGAATTATATCATATTGGTCTGACTTAGTCATACCACGACAGAACAAGTTACCGTGTTTGATATATCGTATTTTGTTAAATAATTTTAATAACTCCCAGATTGTATCTAGATTAAGATTTCAGTGGAAAAAATTTGTATGAATGTGGTCTGTATAACATTTGGCATAACCATGAATTTCATAACCATAAATGGTTAACGATGTCAGTCAAACAAAAATTATAAGACTTATTTTTAAATGAGTGGTATTCTGATATTGAGAATTCTAGTAAATGCAAAAATTATAGATTATTCAAACCTAATTTTTGTTTTGAAACATATCTTGAAAAAAAAACGCCATCAAAATTTTTACAATACATGATACAATTTAGAACAAGAAATAACAAATTGTCAGTAGAAACCGGAAGTTGGAACAACATCGAACTTGTACACTGTGTGATAGATCAATTGGTGATGAATTTTTGAGTGTCCTTGTTTTAATAACAGCAGGAAACGTTTTTTGAAACATAACTATTTACAGAAACATAATATACATTCTATTGGTCTATTAACACTGATGTTAACATTCCAGATTACAAAAAACTTTTTTTATTTATTAAAGAAATTAAATTAAGATTCAAATGAGCCAAAAATTGTATAAATTTAATGCTGTGGAGAACCCTATTGAAGTATTTGTTTTAATACTGACTCTCCCGCAATATTTATGATAACAATTGATATATCATGTTATTTTGATACTGTCTGATTCTGAAACCTCATTTATTATGTACATGTAATAGTAATATTACCTCATGTTGTCATGTTTGTATGATCTGAGTGAATAAAATGAATTGAGACTTATATTTATTTCCTGGTTTATTGCATGAATTATACTAAATACTACCAACATAATTGTCAATGGTATAACAGACCTTTCGTTATGGACACAATTCTCTTTAACACACCTGACTTGGGCAGATAGCTTGACTTATCTAGAAAATTGTACTACATCTAATGTGTATATGATAGACGTTATGTATTTAAGTGTTCCTGTTAGCTTAACTTATTTAGACAATTGTACTACATCTAATGTGTATATGGTAGACAGTATGTATTTAAGTGTTCCTGCTGGCGAAGTGACAGGTGTTATACGTAATGAGTAATTTCAAATAAATATTATTATACCAGAGGGAAATAAACAATTTCAGTTTAAGCATAGTTATAGTGTTGAACCTATTGCAGTTAAGAATTAAGCATTTAACATTAAAGCATGGTGGCTGATTTACGCCATGTCGTTTTTTCAATTCTTCAAAAGTATAACTTTGTCGTGTCTGTTTGCTTCCCAGCATTGTTACATTTTCGCATTGTTAAATTTTCGCATTGTTACATATGCCAATACAATGGCCAAATGTGAATTCGACTGCGCATGCTTAATCGAAACGCGAAGATTCGAAATAACGAAAATGTAAAAATAAAACGATGTGAAAAAGCGAAAACACAGAAATGCGAAAAAGTCAAATGCAACAATGCGAAAAAGTGAATATATGACAGATAATTTGGAAACAGACGATTGGTTTTACGTGTCTTATAGTTGCTCTTCTCCTGTACGTATTTTCGCTTTTTCGCCTCGAAAATCCGGACGAACACACGAAGAGACGCCAAAGTCAACTTTATCGTCCATTCATGTATTCGCATTTCCGCATTCTGATACCAAGGAGCAATAACGCGACGTGGCGTAAATAAGGAACCATATAAAAGCGGTCTGTAAAGGAATATAAAAATGGCAGTTATCAATACCATTGTGAAAATAAAACAGTTGTAAATATGCATTTGAAGTCGAGTATTCTTGAAATTTCAAGCATTAAAGATTTAATTGTCAAATACCAAAGTAAATATTTTGCCCTTAGTTTTATGTCAGTATTGGACAGTATACTTTTGTTCTCGTTCTTTTGCATGATTGGGTGTTGAGGATTGAACAGCTCTTAGGAGGGGCGTGGGAGTGGGAGGGGTTTGACGCTCTAGATGATTAATGCATATGCTAAAAAGGATGTAAAAAGATACAATATTATCAATGTTGCTCTATTATAGGAATACAAGGGACCGGTATTTACTAAATATGTTTTCTTCATTTGTGCTATTTCAGTATCTCTTCAACCTAAAGTAGTTTATAAACCAACGGAGTATCCATACTCAAAATGCTTTGAACATGGTACGGAGCGAGTAACGTGTGAAAAACTAAATTTCAGTAAAGGTATGTGAAGATTTCCTTTTGTGATGCAATACTTTATATTGAATACACGTTTGTATTAAACAAATAAATAACAAGTTAAAGGATATTAAGCTGTATCTTATGAAATATATTTTTAAAAGAATACCTAACGATAAAATAATAATGTTTCAAAAATCTTATGGTCGATTCTCGAAACGGAAACGTTGCCACGTAGTATGCCTCTATTTATTAACATTCAAGACTATTGAATGTTAATGAAATACAATGTTCCGAAACTAAATATTATTTTACTATCTTAAATAGGATTTTATAAATTTAGCTACGACATTTGGTTTTTAGGGAGGTTACTACCTATGCATTTTGGAAGCATTAAAACTATCAAATGATAAGTTTTGGAGTAAATATCTAGCTTTATATACTTTAATAAGTGAAATTACATATATTTATGATATTTGAATGTGTATGAGTTTTGTTATTCATTGACATTGTCCAGCAAAATCAGACTGGTAGATCTTCAAAAACCTGTGATATTTATGAGCAGTTTACTATCATACAAATAAAAGTCATATATATCACTATAGCATCAAAAGGAATTATATAAAACTATGATAATTATATGAATCTTGATCTAATTCTATCATGTCTGTACCATTTTGTGTATAAACATTGTACAAAGAATTTATGATGTCTCTAGTAAGTCAGGAATAACTTTAATTATATTGAAATATTTGTGTTTGGGTATGTTTAACAATTACAATTTCACAACGGAAAAATTGTCCTATCAGCCTATATATATAAACTTTAAAAATACTTTCATTACAGAACTATCAAAAAGTTTAAGAACTTATTCTTTACCGATAAACTACAAAATATAACAAGATAGTATGAAAATTGTGCCAGTTGCGTTTATGTTTTCAGTCCCTATTAACCTACAAAGACAAAAATGATATGTTATCCTTGGTCTTAAGTGAGAAAAACTTTCAATTTTAATTAACAAAACCAACCTACGCACCTTTTTTGTTATCCGGTGTCAACTTGATATTTTGAAATAAACTGTATTTTACTAGAAGACGATGAAAAACAAACTACCTTTGTACAAAAACACAATGCGATTCAAATGCCTGCTCAAACTTTAAATTAGAAAAAAAAAAAACATACAAGAGGGGAGTCAGCTAAAGCAGTATTTGTGCTTTTCCACATCAGATATTTAAGCTGCAATTTTATTAATTTCATTAAAAAAAACAGAAAGACACTACATTTCTTCAAAACAAATGTGTTTCATATCGACTCCTGTTCTTATTTTGGTGGCCGGACGAACAAAATGAGCCTTTAAAGACTAAACGTTAGCAACCCGTTCGTGACGGTATAGAGTACTTCTGGAATATCCGATCATCAAACGAAAATCACTAAATATGGCTTTCGGTAGCAGTCCAAAATTAACGATATATTTCTGTATTACATAACTATGTTTTTTTAATTAGTTATCATTTTATTTTTAGAAGTTGATTACCGCGAAGTCAGATCGGTAAAAGGTAGATGGGAAAATCTTACATTTGCCGTTTACAACTATTGATGTTTTAATTTTTTATAGTCTAACAGTGTATATAGACAAGCTTGCCCAGAACATATGCTTTCTCTACATATTTATTTTTAATATTATATTTTTATTAAAATGTATTTGTTCATTACGTTTTGTTCAATAGAAAGACAAGAAAAACAAAGTGTGTGGCCGCCAGGGCCGTACGCATTAATAGCGGCCAAATATGGCTGCCCGGAGTCGCAGTCTCGGGGATGGTTGGAAAGCTTTGCTTTGATAAACGATTCTACGATTTCTTTTTGCGTGAAATTCAGAAATGATAGCACACTTGACCAAGGACAATGGATTCCAGGAAACTACAGCATTTTTAAAGCTGGGCCATCATGTCCTACAGGTATATATAAGAAGAATGAATTTTCATAAATCAATCCGGTGGCTGAGATACTACGAGTGTCATTTTACATGGGCTACTCCATTTAATCGGGTCTGTCATATTCTTCTATTTCTGTTTAATTGCTCCCTTGTGACATATCCTTTATAGCTGATTTGTCAAAACATCACGAATTTCTTATTTAAAAAAATATCTTTTTAGTCTTTTTTTGTAAATAAGATATATCTGAATAGATGTTAAACATTAACACATTGATTCTTGTTTCTTTTATTTTCTAGGATTCGAAGAGTCGAGCATGTCAGTTTCCGCTCCTGACTTTATGCTGGATGGTCAGGTTTCAAACATTGTAGTAACAAAAGACGGTTTGTGTGTTAAAAATATAAATTATCATTTGATCTGGTCTTCTCTTTAGAAATGTAAAAAAAACAAACAATAGCTATAGTAAGGGTGCTGAAAGTGCGGGCTTCCAAAGGAAAATAAATGTAGAAATAATAATCTAACATTAGAAGCGGTCTGTATGGGAAAAACCCAAATTTAAATAAACATCCGAAGGTTTTATCGACGCAAAATTTTTTAAAAAAAAAGTCTATAGGTTTAAATTCTCATTAAAATGTTACACCTATATAAAACATATTTTCATGAAAAACGATTTAGGTTTCTTGACTTTAAGAAATCCTTTTAATCGTTACACCCGATTAAAAAAGTTTTTGTTTTTTAAAATAGATTAATGGTTTTTTTTCTTGCTTTTTAAAAAAGGGGTCAATTTTTTGAGGGGGTTATTTTACTCCCTATTTTTACTGTCTATGACTTTCTTTTCCTTTCAAGGGGGATTAAAAGGGAAAGGGATCTCGATATGAAAAAGAAAAATTTAAAAATGACTTTGGGAAATCTTCATACAACGTAACTTTCCAGAATTTTGGGAAAACCCTAAATTTTCCATTTTTATAAAGGCATTGTTTTTTTTTGTCTTTCTTTCCAACTTTAGAAAATAAGTAATTAATTAATGAAATTAAAATATAATTGGGAAAATTTCATAGTAAATAAATTACTACATTAGTGTTGTTATTATTCAATTTTATAACTGTAATTAAAATTACTTGGTGCACACCTTTTTGAATTTCATGATCATGTCTTTTGTTTGTTCTTTAATTTTGCCCACTATTTTCAAATCTCATGATCTAGCAATACACTCTTGAAATTTTCTGTCTGTTTTTTGTTTGTTTATTAAATTTATAAAGGTTTTATAAATTATGACATGTAAATGTCATTAATTTGCCATTTATATAGTAAGACGATGTACCTGCCGCGAACCCACATCATATCTTTACATTTTGATTAGGATCCAGTTATGAAAACTGCCCCAAAGTTTTGACGTTTCAACAGTGTCTCTGACAGAAGATTTGCTTCTAGGAAATAACTGCTTTTATAGCCCTAAAGGTATGTCTCTTAATCAAGTTATTTAACAACATCAAAATTTATTAAAGATATAATGTTACAATTTTCTAAGAGTTTTCGGCCAGTTCAACTTATTATGTATGCATTAGTTTTAAAGGCCCATCATGCCTGAGAAATGCTTTTATTTTTATTTCTCAAAAATTATTTTATTTTATTCTTTTGGTGTCATATATCAATTCCAAAAGGTAACCAAATGGCAAATCAAATAAAACATATATTATGCTTATGTTGCCTTTTGGTAAAGTTAGTCTAGTTATAGTGAATTTGTATTTTGTATGGATTTTAAAATACAACTATGGTTACGTTTTGCTTTCAAGAAAAACTTATTTGTAATAACCATTTTTTAAAGAAATCTACTCATTATTTCATATTATTTCTAAATGAGCGGGAGAGACAAATTACCAATTAATCTTAATTTTCGATATAACGTGTAACGGAAAAAAATCCGCCTCATTCAAGGGTCGAACCAGCGATACCTTGGTTTTGAGTCATGTTGGCGGACACATGATTTCTTTAACTATCATGTTTTATACATATTCTACACTGTATATTTCCAACGTAGTCTCAATTAAAGAAAAGTCAAACAAAACACGGACTTTTGTTAGTTATTTCCTCATTTCGTTCACTTGATTAGTAACGATTATAAATATTAAAACCAATTATCAAAACTGAAACTGAGAAAAGAAACACAAGTAATATTTAAAAAAATTCTTATTATATTCATTGCGTTACATTAGTACAGTATTAACTTTTATGTATGACATGAATGAATAAATGATGCATGCATATTTTTCCATGCAGATTATGTTTTCTGAACATTATCTGATCATAATTTCAAAAAGTGCCAGGGGTGAAGGTTGAATGTTTAATGTTTGCTTGTTATTGTTTCTTGTTTCTAGTCGTGAACATTGACTATGAACTGGCTACAGGTATGTTTCAATAACACTATTATATACATTATTAAAGACATTTATGGCATGCAATGCAAAATATTTTTACAATTTGAAATGCTTGCATCTTAGTGACAGATTGCTTCATGATTATGATGATCAATTCTGAAGCCATTGCAGTATTGTTTATAATATATATATACTAGTAATTAAACTCAGACGTAGTATATTTTGTTGTACCACAATTTATATTTTTACTACAAAATATATCAAGCTAAAAGTTAATTTCATTCAGAAAGTATAAAAGATGTTCTTTAGGGGAAAATATCAAAATTTTAGTGGCATAATGCTCATTTTTTCATTGTAAATATTCGCTGAATATAGCTGACTATATAATTTCAAAAGATTAACTATTATTATGCAGATTGACCAATATTTGAAAAGATGATTAGGATTAAATATAAATCTGCCTAAAAGATAAAAAGACTGTCCACGCTTTTTATGATTTGAACGTAATGTGAGTTATTTATCTTTCATGCGAAGTAAACTATAGAAGAGATGAGAATCATGTCAAACGTTAACTTTGAACTTTAACCTTTTCATTCACAATATACCGTTGGATGGACATAATCGCACTCTATTTAAGAGGATAATAATCGCCAAATTGTCATAGAATAATTGGGGTTTTATTTTCTGATAACAATTTAATCAATTTTAAAAAATAATTTTTTTAAACCCTTTTTAAATTTTTTACATTCATATACAAATAATTTTCTGGGGTCCTTTTCTGTATTTTAAAATTTTATTTTTCCCGTGCCTTAAGCAAAAATTTGCAAAGGTATATTTAATTTTTTAAAATGGTTTTTTTCAAAACCCCTGAATCGGGTTTCGAGAGAATAAAATTTAACCCTTTAAAATTTGCTGTCCTATTTTTAAAAGAATTCACCTTCAGTCAAATTTTTTCCCTTTCCCAAAAGAGCTTTCACAAAAATATCACAGGAAAAAATTGTCTTTTAAAAAATGATATCAAAGAACATCCCTTTGCATCCGGGTTAAAAAAACATATTTTATAGATGGCGCTTTCAGGGGTTTTGTTTGGGTTTTTTGGGGGAAAAAAACCACAAAAACGTACACTCATTGGCATGAAGCTATTTCAAACGGAACAAAATGTTTCCTCCTAGCATTCCAATGCCGCAACCATTTTATCAAATCTTATCAAATATGAAAATAATCATAGCTCTGTGAACTTTGTTTTTAATTGGTAAGTATGTTACCATAAACTAAGACAAACATAATATTTTACACAATAGATGTGTTAATGTAATAAATCGCATTTAATGACGGTTTCATGTTATTTTCAATAGAATCATATATTAAAAACAGCACGATATACTAGATGAACGTCATCACAAGATACTTTCTTCTTTTATGTCACTTTTTCAACACATAACTGTCTTTGATATATTTTGCAACGGACTTCTACAAGAATAAAAGACTTACGTAAGTTCAAATCTTGTAAAAAAAATAACGCACATAACCAGCTGTTGTACACGCAACCGGTTTACAGTCGTGATGCGATGTGATGTGTTATCTATAAATGTAGTGCTAACCTTTCCTGTTTTGCAAATTTCAGAAGTTATTGTAAATCCTTATGAACAAAACCTCAAGAAATTTGAAGGTAGGATTTAGCATATTGTCTTGAACGCCTAAACCACACATGTTTGCATGGTTGATAATGTAAAAATAACACTTTTCGAAAAGTTATAGTGCATATTAGCATTTACACCTGATAACCTCATATAACACCGAGGCTTCACCGGGAATGCATTTTCAGTTCAAGCATTGCTAATATGCACTATTGTCCTGACCGTCGTGTTATTTTTAATTATACCGAACAAACATTTTAATGTAATTTTTCCCCTTTATGTATTATTACTCCAAGAGCCATTCAATTAATATTGATTTTATGAGGGGAGACAACTAGAACATTACCTTTCTTAAGTCTATATAGATTACCCTAGCCTGGAGAATAGTAAATAAAATTGACGGGTGAAACAACACATTGTGACGTTGCAAAGGTCCTGAAATACAATTACAATCATTGCCATTAAACTTACGTTCTAAGATATTATAGAGAAAGTGATTTACTGTAAAATGAAAAAGGATATAAAAAAGAAATACAATAGAAATGCACCTTTTTGATAGATAGGTGTATAGTTTGTTATTAGTAATCTATCATTCTGGGTTAAATATGTGACATGAACTAAATGCGTTGTCATATTTCATATACGAGTTATTATTTCATTTCAGAAAAGTACTGGATTCACTATTTCATTGACTGTCAGCGGATACTGGAAGTCGTAATGATTGAGCTGAATACTTCAGCTAAAGTAAGTTGAGCATGCAAGTACTCATCTTCGGTAATCCAGGCTATTTACCGTTCACCATAACATTGAATGTAGTATAAACTGAATGTGTACCGGGGTTTTCGACGATGGCACGTACTTACCATATTCTTTACCCCGTTATGACGAAACATGCAAGGTTTTATTAGGTACCCGTCTGATATCTGAGCAGTCCGAACAGGCACATACCGTTTGAATCAAATTAATCATATTTTTTTTTGAGTGGCGGTGTAACACCGCAAAACGTCCGTACCGCAAAACGTACGTATATGGACGTTTTGCGGCGCATATCGTCCACATTTTTCTGACGTACATTTTGCGGCAAAAAGGCATGGCCCTGCCGCATAACGTCCATATTCTAAGTGTTTATATAATTTTCGTTAATTTTGACCAGTTATTATCAGGTGTTATTGTGTGTTAATTTTAGCTCACCTGACTATGCGCATGTCTGACTGCCCGTCCAAATTCAGCTTGTTACCGCTCTAGCATCCACATACCCTAAGCAATATGTCCAGAGTTATCTGCCCTTGAATTACAATATCTGTTATTTTTCACATTGTTACCATTCCAACGCTTTCATTTCTTCTTCAATCTTGACAATTTTCACCAGAATATCCATGACCTTAAAATCTCAACAAACAAAGTTAGATTATAGGCTAAATCTAACCAAAAAAACAAAACAACAAAAACGCACTATATTTCACATTGTTAGTGCTTTCGTTTCTTCTCCATTCTTAAATTTTTTTATACAGAATATGTATAACAATAAGGTCTCGATCATGTTCATTTATGAGCTAAAACGACTGAATATGTCTAGAGTTATTTGCCTTTGAATAAGAAAAATAAAGACATATTTAAAGTCAAATAATTGAAATGTGATAAAACTGCCATTTCTTTCTTATCAATGATCAGATGTCATTCATACATTTATGACAGGACGGACATCTTGAATAGTTCAACTATAATATTGACCTTGAAATGACCTTGACCTCAAGGTCACTATTGAATGGGCGATATAAGGCCACAATGACCTTTTTGCTTTGCTCAATTATAAAATTACATTGTTCAATTACAAAATTACATTATGGCATTCAAACAAAACGCTTACATTACGATATCTTAAAATATGCTTTAGTTTTTATCAAAAGAACACATTGAGCTTCTTTTTCATCATTTCCTATGCGGGAGAATGTTTGTTATAATATACTCTATTACACATTATCTATGTAACTTATAGGCGAAATGTTTTGTTCTTCAGGCGATAAAATGATACGGTTTTAGTAAAGGGACGGACTTTCCGACTAACCTATAGATTAAATCATTTTTCAAAGTTATATTTTATGACAATTTCAAACTTGCATTTACTAGATCTGTAGTTCAAAATATTTGAGCCGCGTCAAGCAGAAATGCGCACAATCGTCATTTTTTCCACATATTGATGATGTTCAAAATTTTCAATCTGCTCAAATATGACTAGGCGGCTAAAAGTCCGCGACCCGATAAAGGCACTCTTACTCAAATATGACTAGGCGGCTACAGCCTCCCCCCCCCCATCAGAACAATAGCTCTCTCACTCAGATATGACAAGGCGGCTAAAATCCCCCTCCCTCAACAAAAGCTCTCTCTCTCTCTCTCTCTCTCTCTCTCTCTCTCTCGCCCCGCGACAAAAGCTCTCTTGCTCAATTATGACTAGGTGACTTTAAGGCCCCATCTCCGTGAAAATATAGCTCTCTCGCTCAAATATGACTATGCTGTCAGAAGCCCCCATCCATCCCCCTAAAAATGAACGGTAGAACCAAACCTCCATAGTCAACAAGAACACAACAAATCAGTCCCACATTTTGATGCAATTATATGAAAAACTATTGTCAAAAGCAAAGATTAATTTTAATATTTCTCGTCATTCACTCAGTCCAATCCTCGGTTCGTCCGTCCATATAGCCGTCCTTTTCTGAATGTCAATAAGATTACATTTATTTCAATATCATCGTTTTTATATCTCTGCTGCTGCTTGGTTCCATTCCATAAAAAAAATCTATTCGAAAAACATCCTCGGCTTAAGCATATTTTTTTTAATAAAAAAGTCAAAATTATATAGGATCACAAAAATATTGCAATTTAATGTATATTTCGTCATATCTTTACCTGAAACAATATGAAAGTGACTGAACTAATAAAAGTAACGTTTATAATAAATATATATTTTAATACAGAAAATATGGACGATATGCGACGCAAATACACACTCCCGCCGCAAAACGTACCAAGTACGATATGCACCGCAAAACGTCCACATGTGTACGATATGCGACGCAAAACGTCCACACGCGACCGTTTTGCGGTACGGACGTTTTGCGGTGTTACATGGCGGCTTGACCGACTAAATAAAGCGGACAAGTAATCGAAATATCACATATCAAACCCCGTAAGAGGGAAATCGTTGTTTCTTTGAGCAAGAAGCTTAACATCCATTGACTAATACTGGTTGATTCTAGGAATGGACTCGACATTGTTTCAATAAGCTTTTACCTTTCAACTCAATCGATCTTGCATAATTATTAATAAACTAAATCATATTGCATTTATTGACCACTGCTATAAAACATTAGACAAACTAGTTAATGGTTATATAAATATATCATTATAAACATTGCTTGTTTTATATGATTTCACCTAATTCATGCAGCATGAGACAACATTTTATATCTTCATCATTAGACGCCGCGTGCACACGGCGTCTAGTAGATATGCATTCGTTCAGTTAGGAATGGGGAAAACTTTAGTCCTGTTTATGTTAATTTTTTTGTTCTAACAAAATCATACAGTTTTCAGAGTTTCGGATAAAAATAGCTTTTCTGATGATCAAGCGTCATGGAATGAAATAAACGTTCAACAAAATGATACTTCCATGGTTAAATATCACATTCTTTTTAATTTTTATCTTTTTTCATAATTTACAATAAAATAACCTGCAAAATGGAGTCAGTCTTTATTTTTTAAGCAGAAAATTATAAGCGAAATATCCTCGGTTATTATCTATATCAATGGAAAGGCCGAAAAAGTTGCGGTTGAGGAAATTAGCGTATAATCAACGTAATTCCTTCAATTACCGTAATGCATTTTCAATCTTTATTTAGTTGTCATTGGAACGACGACTATATAGAATATATTTTACAACAAACACGGAAAGTGTATACTTACATTTTGGAAAATAATAAAAATGGGTTGAATTGAAAATGTTAAATTTAGTATACAATCAATTAATTATGCCTCGGTCAGTCGGGGAATATTTCTTGACACTGTAGGCTAAGTGAATTTTGGTAATTTGTTTAACCCTAATACACTGTTAGGTTTAAACAAACCCACACGTGTAAGCTATTTTCGCGAAAACAAGTTCGCTGCTACGAAAATCAGATTTATTTTTGAAATAGTGCATTTATCTGTTTAGATAACTATACTAATCATAATATTTATGTAAAAAAATGCAGTCTGAGCCGAAAATATATACGTACGAAAAAATACCCTCAAATGGCCGTGTTGAAGCGAAAACAAGATCGGG